TTAATCTTTTTCTTATTTACCCTGTTTTATTTCTTCACGTAGGCTTTCTCTTCTCTGCATTTACCCCATTTTTATGCCATGGTTTTTCATCCAGTCATTGGCCTGACAAGTTTTCAGTCCTTCCAACAAGGACTAGGCGGGGCTGATGATGTCCAGGCCCCAATATTAGCAGTGGGACCTGGACTTCAGCTATCTCAACTTCAAAATTAGGATGTTGAAACAGTTCATTTGTAAGATCCTGTTTTAGTTCCAGCAACCAAATTACCGAGTCAGTTCAAGGACAACAGCTTTATTTCATTATATAAAATCTATTACTAGAGCAAAGAATTAATTTATTAAAATAGATGCAAGATACTATACAGTGTACATCCATTAATAAAAAGCTAGTGTACTGATGATATACTCATTGCTTACTAATTGTCAAACTAGAATATTCTTTAACTGTCACATTTTAAATTTGACAGCTAGTACTGATGACAGGAAGAGTCCAACTTCGAAAGACTGTGGAGGGCGGCACGAGTGAATTTCAGTTATATACAAACTTGGCGTGGATTAAAGCTATGGAAAGTTGTGATGAACACCCAGCTAGGTGTCCAGCCTGGGAAAGGCATAACAGCACACGCAGTGGTTAGCAGGTTTGCGGCATCAGCTCACCTGCGAACTGCTAAGTTCCTTCCCCTGCGGGCTTCCTCAGGCGAGCAATGGTGAATTTTTTCTTTGGTGAGTTGGGGTCCTCTCCATCCCCGAGAGACTCAAGCATGGTTCTTCAGAAAGGCATTACTTTTTCTTTTTTGCCCTTTTCTCTTTCTTTTCTTTCCTTTTCCCTTTGTCCTTTGCCTTTTCTGTGCTGCCTCCTGTTATCGCCAAGGCTCGTTTTTTGCCCAGAGGGGTTTTGGCATACCAGTTCTGAAATACAGTAAAAGTTTCGGAAAAGGTCAGAATGATACCAATTCACCGCAATACTCTTAAAAATAAAGAAAAGCCTGCTAAGCAGGAAGGGGCAAGCAGCCATTGTACTTTGGGCATTTAAGGTATGCTTAATACAACCTCTTTCTCAGTGGGTTTTCCAGCCTGTTTTTCTGCATGATTTGAAACTTCAACCTGTATTTCTGCATGATTTGTTAACTCAGGGAGTTAACAATTTCAGAGAATCACAGGCTAAATCTAACCAGCAATCCTTCTCAACAAAGTCGCCTATTTTCCGGGCATCCTACTGTGTCCTAGGGTTGGGTTTTCTCGGGAATGTGAAGGGTGCTCATGGTTCACATGTGGGCATGTTCAATGAACAATGGGCGGTCATTCAACTACTCCGGGGGAGGTGCTGTTGAAACCACGGTAGAAATAATGAAGCCCAAATACCAACCAAGAACTCAAGAACTTAGTGATTGTAACTGGCCCCACAATGGCATTTTTCTCAACCTTTGCATTTTATTTGAAACCTAAGAAACATTTGGGTTTATAAACTTTATAATAGCAATATTTCATTGCAGGATTATATTACGTGTTATTTATCAATTGTCCTAGTAATGGATATATGACATCTGAATTTTTGGTTATTATGAAGAATGCTGAAGTTCACAATTTTTACACATCTCCTTGTACCTATGTGAGAGAACTTCTTTAGGGCACACAGATAGAAATAGAACTCCTGGGGTTGTAGGGAATGAACATCTTCCATTTTACTTGATATGGCTAAATTGCTCTCTGAAGTGCTGTAAGTGGGAAATTCTCTCAGTCTTTGTACATCTGTTTTTTTTTTTCCTGAGACTGAGTCTCGCTCTGTCGCCGAGGCTAGGGTGCAAGGGTGCGATCTCAGCTCACTGCAACCTCTGCCTCCCTGATTCAAGTGATTCCCCTGCCTCAGCCTCCTGAGTAGCTGGGATTACAGGCGTGCGCCAACACGCCTGGCTAATTTTTGTATTTTTAGTAGAGACAGGGTTTCACCATGTTGGCCAGGCTGGTCTCGAACTGCTGACATCAAGTGATCTGCCTGCCTCAGCCTCCCCAAGTGTAGGGATCACAAGCATGAGCCATGGTGCCTGGCTTCATATGTCTGAAAATGTTTCTTTTCTCCTGTCTCTTGTGTGCCAGTTTAGCTGGATACAAACATTAGGCAGACAGTTGTTTTTCCTTAGCACTTTGTAGATATTATTTCGCTATCTTCTGGCACCTATGGTTGTTAAAGAGATGTCTGATTTCCCAATTGTTTCTTGGTAGGTAATCTGGTAGCTTTTAAGACTGGCTTTTAATCTTGTTCTTAAGTTCCCAATAATATATCTAGGTATAGATTTATTTGATTTGTTCTGCTGGTTACTAGGAGTTTATTAGTTAATAAATTATTTCACTTGGGGTTTATTTTCAATCTATCTTTAATTCAGGAAAAATTCTCAGTAATAATGTCTTTAAACAGTTGTTCCTCTGACACTTATTGTATTCTTTTCTTCTAGAACTTCCATTAATGAAGGTCAGCGTCTTCAACCCACCTTTGATGGATCTTTATACTTTTATGGATTTTACCTTCTTGTTTTTCTGTACTGACTACCAGGGGGTGCTCCCCAGGACCATCTTCCAGTCCACAGATTGCTCTTTGACCATGTTTAGTTTAGAGTTCATACCTCTTTCATTTCCTTTGCCACTTTATACTGATTACCATATTTTAAATTTCTAAGCTTTCTTTTTCTCTGCAATTCAGACCTCAGTTTCTGACTCTCTAAGCTTTCTTTCTGTAACATTTTTTCATAATTATCTCTTCTCATTTCATTTTTTCCCCCAAAATGTTCTGTACATTTCTAATGGAAGTCATACTCTCATTTATTTTTTTGAACATATTAATTGTATTAATTTAAACATTTTGTCAGATTGTATTTAGCACTAGATTTCCTAAAATGTTTTCGAATTTTGATTTTCAGATTTTGTGTGTGTGTGTGTGTGTGTTTTATGGCGTCTGGCTTGGGCACGCATCACCGCACCTGGCTAATTTTTGTATTTTTAGTAGAGATGGGGTTTTGCCATGTTGTTCAGGCTGGTCTCGAACTCATGACCTCAAGTGATCCACCTGCCTTGGCCTCCCAAAGTGTTGGGATTACAGGCGTGAGCCACCATGCCTGGCCAAGATTCATTTAGAGTGGGAAGTTTTGTTTTGGGCTCTGTCTCTCTCTCCTTATTCTTTCCTCCATAGCAGTCCTACAGTTGCTTCTGTAAGATCCTCTAAACTCATATACAGAACCAAGTCTTATAATGATGTTTTGATTGATGCTTCCCTTAATGCTTCCTGGTGATATTAGGGATATCAAAGATCCAGTCATAAAAGAAGCAGGCATTATTTTATCTTTCACAAACCGTTCTTTTTGTTTTTGTTTTTGAGACAGAGTCTTGTTCTGTCACCCAGGCTGGAGTGCAATGGCACGATCTTGGTTCACTGCAACCTCCATCTCCCAGGTTCAAGGATTCTCCTGCCTCAGCCTGGGACTACACGTGTGTACCACCACGCCTGGCTAATTTTTGTATTTTTAGTAGAGACAGGGTTTTGCCATGTTGGCCAGGTTGGTCTCGAACTCCTGACCTCAAGCGATCTGCCTTGGCCTCCCAAAGTGCTGGGATGACAGGCATGAGCCACCATGTTCAGCCAACTCTTAAACTCTCTTTGATTTCTATACTTTATTTTTCTCTATGCTGCATTCTAGGCAATTTTCTTTGCTCCCTTTTTCAGTTCTTTTGTTTTTTCTCTTTAGTTTTGTCAAATCCACAGATATTTATTCACTGAGTTATTTATTTATTTATATTTTTTTGAGACAGAGTTTTGCTCTTGTTGCCCAGGCTGGAGTGCAATGGCACGATCTTGGCTCGCTGCAACCTCCGCCTCCTGGGTCCAAGCGATTCTACTGCCTCAGCCTCCCGAGTAGCTGGGATTACAGGCATGTGCCACCACGCCCGGCTCATTTTGTATTTTCAGTAGAGACGGAGTTTCTCCATGTTGGTCAGGCTGGTCTTGAACTTCTGACCTCAGGTGATCTGCCTGCCTCGATTCACTGAGTTTTTAATTTTAATGACTATATATATTTTTTCACTATCAAAAGTTCTATTTGGTTCTTTTTCAAATTTGCCTGTTTTTCCTCCCTAATGTTTCTGGTCTTTAATTTAAACATACTTATTTTGTAGTCTCTTTCGGAATGTCCTTTTATCTCAGATTCTTGGTAGTGCTATTCTGTTATTTGCATTTGCTGACTGTCCTTGGGGTAGATTATTGCTTGTGGCTCATAATTTTTTATTATGAACTCATCTTCAGCAAGGCTGGTATTTCCTGTAGGAATCCTATATACCCTGACTTGGCTAAATTTCCATACAGAGTGGTTTTTAATTTTGCTTTTGATGTGACTTCAGGGGTTTTAGTGATACCATATCAGTTTTAAAAATTATATTAATATTTCAACTTGAGATTCTGGGACTATGGAGGTAGTACAGATTTGGAAATTTGACGTGCAAGGTGTAGCTTGGATTTTGATTTCTTATGGGCCACTTTTATTCCCCACCTAGATCCTGGAGAAGATCACAAGTTCCTTGATACTTCCTCATGGCAATCTATAAAGTGTCCCAGCTTCGTGCAGTTCCAGCGTTCTGTCTCTCACAGGCCTCCCCTTGCCTTACTGTTTGGATCTTATACACCCCTAGGCTACCCATGCATTAGCTCATGTAGTTGTTCTTGTCTTTGAGATGTACCTCTCTGTTAGTGGCACTGGGGGATTCCTCCTCCTCCTGTTCGCCTTGGCTCTGTTTTTAACATAAGGTGACGTGGCCATGTACTTAAGGCGATGAACTCCTAATTGACCGAGACCCAGTATAGAATATAGTTAATGAAGTTGGCTTTGGGGAAACGTATGAATTTCAGCTCTGCTACTTTCTAGTTGTTACTTTACTTGCCTTTTGTATTGTTTATTTTATTGTTGCTGCAGTGAATTTCCAGAAACATGGTGGCATAAAACCACACATTTATGATTTCACAGGGTTGTAGGTCAGAAACCGGGAACGGGCCTCACTGGGTGACAATCGAGGTGTCTGCAGTGCCGTGTCCCTTTCTGGAGGCTCCAGGTGAGAATCTTTCCCTTGCCTTTTGCAGCTCTCAGAAATCACCTGCTTTTCTGGCTTGTGGCCCCTGCTCCACCTTTGGATAGCAACGCTGGGCTGCCTGGAGTACCAACATGCCTTCTCAGACTGCTCTCTGGTTCTCTCTTCCAACTCCCTCTTCTGCTTTTCATGATTACACTGGACTCGCCAGGGTAATTCAGGATAATCTATCTTCAGGTCAGCTGACTAGCAGGCTTACTCCATCTGCAGCCTTATACTGCCTCTGCCGTGGAACCTCACTTATTTTCAGGTTCCAGGGACGAGGATGCAGACATCCTTGAGGGGCCATTATCCGGCCTACCATGACTCTCCGTATCTCAGTTTCCTCATGTGCAAAACAGGGTGTTATGAGTCTAAATGAGTCAGTACAGTGGCTGGCATATAATAAGCAGTCAATAAGTGTTAGCTAACATTATTAGACTTACTACCATCGTTTTCATACATATTCTCTCTATCATGTCTGTGGAGCAGGGTAGAACGTGCTTGGAGAATCTGCAAGGTCTTCATCTGAGATAACGTTGTCAGAAGCACAACGAGGGGAAATTTCTCAGGGTTTGCCTCATTAGCAGGAACCATAGCAATGGTATCACATTGTTCAGGAGAATGTGAGGGTGTCATTCCATCTATCCATGTGTTTAATTAACGTGTCCCTAAACAAATTTATTAAGCATCTACTTGGGGCCAGGCACAGGGCCAAGCACTGGTGCTGTAATGGAAGCACAAAGGGATTGGGTGGAAAGGGGAATGGTGGGAAAATGATGCAGTTTCTTTTGAAAATGAATAGAGCAAACAAATACACCAAGAATGGATGTGTGAAGCATATGCATTCTCATCCCAGGTCATAAAAGGGTAGTAATTCCTTTTCTTGAATAGTATGATCGACCTCAAGCACCTATAGATAGAAAAAGTTCTAGAGATTACTTTGGAAAGTTAAAGGCTCAGCCATGAGAAAGGATAGGCTTCCACACCCTATCATCTAACTTCTCAAAATAAGGAGGAAAATTAGTATTTTAGAAAGGAGAAAAAAATTGGGAATTTCGGAAAAGAATATGGAGGTATCATTTGAAGAGGATAATATCAGCAATTATGAACAGGTTTAAACAGTTAATGAGAATATGTTAATAATTCAAATGCTTGGTAAACACTCAGCTAGAGTTAAATCTTTTTTTCTGCCTTGCTAGAGCAGGGGTCAGCAAAATATGGCCGATGGGCCAAATTTGGCCTGTTGTCTGTTTTTGCAAATAAAGTTTTATTGGAACCCAGCCATACGCATTCATTTCTGTATTGTGTATGGATGCTTTTGTACTCTGATGCACAACTGAATACCTGTGATAGAGACTGCATGGCTCTCAAAGCCTAAAATACTTACTATCTGGACCTTTATGGAAAAAGATTGCCAACTCCTGTGCTAGACCATTATTGCTGAAATCATTATTGTGACTATTTTTCACCTTTCTAATGCTTCACTGAAGAATTAGGGGCAAACCAGGAGGGAATCATAGTTTTAGATTTGCTGGAGAAGTGATGTGTCGCAGAGGGAGATTTTCCTGATGTGAAGCAGGCTCCCAGAGATGGGCTCGGATGAGAATTTCAATGCCCCTTCTGGTGACCGCACAGCCGATACTGTGGTGGCCTTCAATTGCATGCATATAATCTTCTCTTACCTTTGGAGTTTGGCCAGGGAAAACTTCCTTCAGAAAGACAACACCACTGTATTTATTTTGGCTCAAAGGAGAGCAAGCAGAGTTTGAGGAGTGCCCACTGGCCTGGGCACTCCTCCTATAAGAGAGGGTGTTGGAAGAAATAATTCTCAAAGTTTCCTTCAGATCCAGAAATTTCTGCGAATAGGTCAGAATGTATTCAAACATTGGAAACTAAATTTTGATGAGTTATCTTGTGGCTTCCTATTGCAAATGAACTGAAACTAAAAAACAAAGTGTTCCATGACAATTTTGGGCCCCAAACAGCATTGGCTTGAACTATCCTATTTGGGGAATGATTTCTCTATGCAAAACTTATTCCATAATACCAAATAGGAATTAAAAACCAAAATAAGTATATGTGCCTATGTGAATCCAATGGTTTTGAAGTTGCTACTCAATTCTGCAATTTGGCTGTTAATATATAAGGCCACACACCATGATTCTCCTGAAATTTGGAAGACACATGCTTTACTGCCAAAACCCCAAAGATTTTGTCATCCAAAATTTTAGGTTTCCAAATGTCATTGTATATGGCAGAGTTCTAATTCATGAAACCCATGGAACTCCAGAGGGAGGAGGCAGTGTGAGGAGTGTTTGCTGCTAAGATTTGGTCATGAGGGTGTTCCATTTACCTTAAAGCTCTCTTCTTCCTCTTTGTACACCGGATCCATGCTGGTTATTGCGGTAATAAACTCAACTGCAGTGAGAGGTTTATGAATTTGCCGCCGGATTCTCTGATCTGTGAGCACAGCTTTAACCACTTTGACTATATGTCCTTGGGTGAAGCCGTCAGTGACCTTCGCCAGGCAGCTGACATTCAAGGCACTGGTGAGGACTCCTCCATTGCGTTCAATGATTTGTTTCCACAGAACTGTTGTATCCAGAAAAGACACAGGGAACAGGGGTTACCACTGAGAATCAGTGCCAGTTTCCCTCTCGGTTGAAAGTTGCATCTCATCAAGAAAGGAATACACAAAAGTCTACTCTAACTTATTTGTAACTCAAATGAACCAAAGCCAAGTAACTAAATGCTTTCCTCTAGAGAATTTTCAACCATAAGCCATACATATCAATGACCCTGAGGTCTACAGATCTACAAGTGCCCTGCAAATTAACAAGGAAAAACACCAGCAGTATAGTTTTAATGTGGTACCTGTAAAGATGTTGACAATCTTTCAACATTTGAAATTTTCATAGGGTGTATAATGGCATCTCTTCTCATCAGAATATTGTATTTCCCAAGTAATTTGGATAAGGAGTTTAACTTATTTTTTTAGGTGTAAAGTTAATATCTCATATTATTTTTACATCTGGAATCAGAATGCAGATTCCAATTTTCATCAGCTACTGCCAGGGTCAGTTCCCTTTCAGTGGAAGACACTGTATTACACATTGTATTAAATAGAGCAATTTGACCCTTATTCTTTCCCCCTCAGCAACTGTAAACACGCACTGGTTGACTAGAGTCCTTCAGATGAGGGCCTGGGTGTTCTCTGGTTTGTGGGACCTGGAGTAAATGAGATATTTCAATCTGAACACAGGGGTGCTGTGAAAATGAATTATGAAATAATTCTGGGTGCTTAACTTTAGAGATGGAATGAACTCCTGTACAATCCTTAAAATCATTCTGTATTTGGAGAATTAACTCTATTCTGTAAAGGGAACACAAGGGAAGTAAAGGAGACTTGCTGTAACTTATTTAATTATATCCAGACAGTGGAGAAGGGTGAAGGGTGTTTACAAGAGCATCTGTCAGTCTCAGCACTGGGATAATCTGGTCAAATATCTCTAAACCATTTTGAGTTTACTTGAGGAACACTTGAAACCATTTTTAAAAAATGTCAATGACTACCTGATCTGAGCATTGTCAGGCCTGGTAAGGGGTTAATTCTGAGTCTGTTAAATGACTACATCATACAAGTATGTTGATCCAAAAATGGCTGATAAAAGGAAAAGGTCTACTTACTGTAAAGGAATACAATGGCTTATAATGTAACTATGAACCATGCTGGAGAATCTGGCTTTTGGGCTGTGAGCTATTCCAGCAGTTCACTCCCACTGTCCTCTTTTGGGGGGTCCTTGGCCCTGTGGGTGAGCTGAGCTGCTGGGAAAGGGTGAACTGTACCTCGGGGCCTGCCAGTTTCTCTGAGCTGTGGAGGCTCAGGCATCCAGGGTTTGGAGACCTGCAGTGAAACCAAGGAGGGCCACAAGGACCCCAAACTGGCCTAAAGGATCATCAGATCCCCAATCTACTCTGCTCCTTCCTTGGTGGGTTTCTTTGAGTTTGAGCCCCAAACTAGTCTTATCTGTAAAACAGGCGTAGAAGGATTGACTTCTCAGTGCTGCTATGAAAAACAAGCCCAACAGTGTTTATAAAGCACTCGGAAGTGCAGCAGCCCGGCATGTGGTGGGGACTTGACTTTCTATAGCTACGTTACTGTTGTTATTACAATAACAATGATTGTTCATTCCATCTTGCACTGAAGTTTCCTAACCCTCATTAAAACATCAACTACAAAAGACAACATAAAATAAGCTACAGAGTGTTTCAAAGCCTGTTTGTGTAGGGATGGATGGCAGCAGGTGAAGACTATCCTTATCCAAATATAACTGTTGCAGAGTTAGAGATAAGAAAACATAGCCCACGGTAAAAATGATCAACAACAACACCTAGCCCACATCTTCACTTGAGATCCGGCGTGTCTGCTCGTCACATTTATAACATCTAAACAAAGTACCAGCGGGTCTGAGTGGTGACTCTGGAAGCTGAGAAGGGAACACGATTTATGGGAGAGTCACAGGTAAGGCCCCAAAAGCTGAAGTCGACATCCCAGGCTGGGTTGCACGCTTGCGGACTCAGTTCTGGGCTAGCAGGAGCAAAATTCCTACCTGTGGTGCCAAAGGGAACCATCAGTGGGAAAGGGTGAGGGCCACGTGCTCCCTGGCAACCAGTAACTCTCTCCCTGGCTTCTCTGTGAGGTCACAACAGTCACAATCTTGGAAGTTTTCTGCCCAAATCATCCAACCTTTTTGCAGGAGTGATCACATGATGAGTAGAGATGCATTAGTAACGGAGTACAGTTACTGTACTGGGAAACGGTGAACTGTACCGTGGGGCCTGTCAGTTCCTCCAAGCTGTGGACGACTAGGCATCAAGGCTTTGGAGACCTGCAGTGAGACCAACAAGGGCCAGAGGGACATGTAAACCCGCTGCTGCCCATTTAAAGTGTAGGATACTTGGTATTCACGGAGAGTTTCGGTCAAGATTCCTCTCAATACATGACTCCTTGGTTGCTCTCCATAGATCACCATTTTTACTGGAGTTGCAGCAAGAGAGATCTGTGAAGCAGTCCCAGCTGTGGTGGGACCTGCCCACCTGCCCGCTCATCTGAAGACCCAGAGAAGGGGATGCAAAACCAGGCTTGGCTTCCTTCCTGCAGCTGATGAACTTGAGCTGTTGGTCTTTCAAAGAATCTCTTCTATTGCTTTTACACAACCACCCACTCATGGGTTCTTGGCCCTTAAATAGCTGCTCTGGGGCCCACGGTGGTGTCAGGTGTGGCGGGAGGCACAGCACGGTGGGCTGGGTGGAGACTGGAGCTGGCAGTGAGCATGGGAGCCCCAGAGGCTGTGGGGTCTCTGGTCTAGGAGTGCAGTGGGGAGCACAGATGCACTGCAGTCTTGGGGTGTGGTGAAGGCTGTGTTGGTGAGGACTGAGGCTGGGGCCCCAGAGTGTTGAGGGCAGTGGAGGGGCTCTCCAGGCCGAGTGCTGAATTTTGCTTTGGTCTCTTGGATGCAAAAGGCTCCTCACATCTTCAGACCAATCTACATTCTCTTTCCCTTCTTTGGATGAAAGCATCTGGCCTTTGGCTCCCCTTCATCTGCTGTCGACATTCCCAGTGGATTCTGTCTTGGCTGGCGCTCGAGATGACGCAGTCTCTGAACATTCATTTTTATTTGGGGTTTTCCAAACGCCTGAGAGGTGAATAATGTGATATGGGTGAGCTTCTGACCCTCTGAAGCCGGGAATTGCAGAAAAGGCTAAAGACAAATCCTGGACCCATCTGACCAGACACTGGGTCCGGGTGGGCCTGTGATGAATTGGGTTATTAGCGAAATTGACCCCAGGGAGAGAGGCAAGAGGAGGAGGGCACTGGGAATGTGGAGAAAAGGAAGCCCGAAGGGATTTCTGGGGACCAGACAGGGCATCCATCAGCCTGGGGGGTGGATTTTCTTTGCAGAGACAGCTTGGTTTGGGGGGAAAAAGGAGAGATTGAATGACGTTTGGTGAACCTGAGGGCTGCGTTTCCTCCACAGATCCGCCCTTCACTTCTCAGCACTGTCTGTCCCCACATGGCCTGGAGGAATTTGAGGAGTGGGGCCGTGGGGACTGTCGCACACCTTCGAGCTCCATTGCGGGTGGAGAGATGGCCAAGCCGCCGTCCATGCTACGGATTGGCAGCCCTTGCTTTATGGACTGGAAGAGACCACTTTTGATCGCCACAAAGATAAGAACAGTCTTTCTCTAAGACAGATGTCCCAGCCACTGTGGCTATGAAAACTTCAAGGTCACTGGAGGAAATGCTGGACGAGGGGCAATGATGTCAGCCAGAATGGTGGCCTGAACACATCACTCCCCAAGACAGAAATATTGAGGAGCATGTGCTTCAGTGGACAGAACCCAGGGTCTGAGAGCAGTGTCTGGTGCAGCTTTATCATCTGCCCATAGGTGGAGGGACGCTTTCTCTCCTTCCTCTCCCATCACGATGCTGTGAGGAGATTCAGGTAGGAATCTGTAGTGTGATTTGAATCCTAAAGGATGCGTGGTGTTTTATCAAAAGAACAAAATTGCCAGCCATCCATCAATAGCTTCATTTTTAAAGGGCCTATAGTTTTGTCAAACAATAAAAACCATTCTGTTCAGAGTCCAGAATAATGCTCCAGCCCCTTTGAATTAATAATACCCCACCTTATTCCATTAACATAGCTTAAAATATAGACACAATACAAAAAAGGAAGAAAAAAAGAAGAGTGCATGAGAGGAGAGAGGGGTAGCCCTGCTAAGGTCAGGGGCGTGGAATCTCCGGCATCGGCTGTGTGGGCTGCGGCGAGACTGTGTGCCCGCCCGTCTCGTGCTGTCTTCTTTCTTGGCTGGACAGCCCTACCCCCTTCATCCATATTTTTCATTCTGGCCAATGTGATCTGCCTGGAGGAAACGTTGGCCTCTTCTGGGTCTAGTCCTTAAGATCTCCTGTGACTCCTCCATCCTGTCTTCCCTTGCTTCTTTTGATGCTGGCTGGGTGCAAAGGGTTCGTGGCGGGGGCATTTTGAGGCCCTAAAAGATGAAGAAGGCACTAGACGGATGCAGAAATAGCTGGGCCTAAAGTCTTCCTGTATTTTGTGTATAACATTGATTTAGAAAGCCAGGATCACAATTTATCGGCCAGGCACAGTGGCTTATGCCTGTAATCCCAGCACTTGGGGAGGCTGAGGCGGGCAGATCACGAGGCCAACAGATCAAGGCCATCCTGGCTAACACGATGAAACCCCGTCTCTACTAAGAATACAAAAAAAATTAGCTGGGCGTGGTGGCGGGCACCTGTAGTCCCAGCTAACTGGGAGGCTGAGGCAGGAGAATGGCGTGAACCCAGGAAGCGGAGCTTGCAGTGAGCCGAGATCGCGCCACGGCACTTCAGTCTGGGTGACAGAGCAAGAATCCGTCTCAAAAAAAAAAAAAAAAAAAAAAAAAAAAAAAAAAAAGCCAGGATCACAATTTATCAAGATGGAAATAAGCACATATTGCAAACACAGTGGCTAAGAAGCTAGTCGTTTATAGCATGTGGAGAGTAGGGGGTTGTTCTTTTAGCAAAGAAAATTGAGCAGCAACTTATGAACAGCCAGAGAGGACCATACGTGCCCTCTGCTTTGCAGTGCTCATGTGATTGAAGAAGGAAGAACAGAAACCAAGTCTGACCTAATCACTGTATTACTATCATTCATGCTGACCACCACTGCCACTGCCACCACGGCCACCACCACTGCCACCACGGCCACCACCACTGCCACCAGCACCTCGACTGCTCCTGCCACTGACCGTCCTCATCTCCAGTGTCAAATGTGACCTTTGCCACCATTCCCAACACCCTCCCCAGAGCCACCCACACTGCCACCAACACAGCCACCCCATCTCTGCCTCCTCAGCATCATTCCACACTGCCTCCACCCCTACTGCCAGCAAGCACTTCTGTCTCCATTAGCACATGCTGTCACCTCCGGCCAACCCCCTCCACCATCTCTAACACCGACAGCGCCATTGCCATCTCACCTCCAAGTCCTCACCGCTCCCCCACCAGTGCAGTGTTACGGTGGCCCCGCCACGAGCCACCCCTGTGCATTCACACCCGTGTGTCCCCGGCCGCCCTGGAATCTAGGCTGGCCCTGTGCCTTCCTCTTGACCAGCAGAGGGTGGAGATGGTCACTCTGTGGCTTGTGAGGCTGGGTCACAAGAATCCTTTCAGCTACTGCCCCAACTTCTTGAAACATGTGCTCATGAGATAACTCCTCGTGGGACCCAGCTGCTGGGTGTGAGAAGCTGCACCCGGCCAGGTGCAGCCTGTCCGGTCGACATAGGTCCTGCTCAGTGCCCATGATGGCAGCAGCAACTCCAGTCACATGCGCGAGTGATCCTGGGTATCCACACTGCCCAGTCTCCAGACGAAGGAGCCTCAACTTTCATGTGACTCTCACGTCATGAGGTACATTAAGGAGAACGCCCCAGCTCTGCCCAGACAACCGTTGGAAGGAAGCACACAGTGGAATAATGTGCTGTTTGAGCCTTCAGGGAGGTTTTCACACAGCACTAGATAACGGAACGGCCGCCAGTACTCTCCTCAGCTTCCCTTGCCATTCGCCATTCCCTCCTCCTGCCCAGCCCACGCCACCCTCTTCTCTTCCTCTACCTCCACCACCACTGCTGCCAACACCCTTTCTCTCTGGGGGCCACATGAGGCCAGGTGCTCTGCTAACACCTCGTGAGTGCCACAGCAGCCCTGTGGTGTGAACCGTTCTCCTGCTTCACAGATGAGAAGATGGAGGCTCAGAAGGTGACCGACTTGTCAGGGTCACCCAGCTATGCAGGGGCAGAACCAGGATTCTGAGCCAGGAGTCCGGAGAGCCCCAACCCAGGCTCCTCCCCGCTCCACTGCTTTGCCTCCCAGGGGCCCTTTTTTTGTGTCATTCCCATTAAAAAACATGTTTCAAAAGTAGTGGATTTTGAATCTATTTAAGGAGAAAGAATTGAAAAAGTAAGCTCTCCTTGTATTTTAATGTTCATTTTAAGTAAATCATCATGCAACTGGACTTTGAGACTGGAAGAAAAAAAAAAAAAACCTAACCCGGTGAAAAGAAACTACGCTCTATGAGGAAAACACCATCACCATGGGTGCAAGGTGAGTGATCCTATCTACCTGTCCCAAGAAGAATCAGTACCCACAAGGCTTTTGTCACTGTCAGGGCCAGAAATCATAATCCTCGTCCAGTTTCCTTTTGTCTTGGGTAGAGAGAAATAAGCTAAGAACAGAATGTGGCCTAGTGGTTTACATCTGCAGCACGTGCTCTGTGTTGGATGCAGGTGCACTCACCCCACCGGGTGCAGGCTCCCCTCATCTGGGGCACACTGGGTCCAAGGGCCACCCTCCTGGCAAGCACACAGCGGACAGCCCAGCCTCAGCTACCATGCATGGGAAGGCGCTGGGGGTACTTGCCGTATCTGGAAGCATAGTCTGGTCTAGGCACCAAAATAATTTTCTGGTAAACTCTGCAGAAAGGTTGGAGTTCAGCATCGAAGGGACGCCGTGTGGTCCCCACAATCAGAATCCGGTCATCTGGTTTCAGGAGTTTCAGGATTTGGGGAAGGTGTCTTTTCAGGCGTTTAGGTTCATTCTGGGAGAGAGAGAGGAAAAAAAATGGGTCCACATACAGAAAAAAAGAATGAAAAAATGAAAGAAAATTTACTTAGAATGTGTTGCAGCATCGTTTGTTAAAGTGATTGCAAAGCTCTGACAAATACAATTTCTTAAGGTTTATCCTGGGATAGGTCTTGGAATGTGCTTCCTAGCATGACCCAGTGGATTTTAATTGTCAGTGTTTCCTTTCCTCAACCTCTGGTGTCCAGATTTAGAGGGTGGGAAGGAAGGAAGCACCTTGACCCTAGGAATGGGAAGTGGTGGCTGATTTACAAATGGAAGGAAGCTCACTGGGACTTGTAATGAGCTGTGGTGCTCCCATTTTCCTGAGTTGTTTGGAAGCTGGACACAAGACTTCCTTTGCCGATTGCTGAAACAATGAAGAGCCCAGCTCCTGCATCTCATGTCTGAAAAATACCTGGTTACATAAGATTGTGAAACTTATCTCTCTGAAGCAGTTGGGAAATAGTTTGAACCTGAATTATTTTAGTATAATCTCAGCACTAATGAGGGAGAGGAACGAACGAGGACAGGCTGGCTGTTCAGCACCCCAGGGAGGACGACTTCCAGCCCGTGGGAGTCAGATCTGACCATGTTGCCATGGGCAACAGCCTGGCCGCCAGTCAACCTCGCCCCCAGTGCAGACAGCAAAGAGGAAGCTTCGGAAGGAGGAGCACACCAGGGGCAATGGTGAGAGCCTCTGCAGAGACTTCCCAAGCACAGTCGAGGCCATTTTTGCTCCCATTTGGCTGATGGCTAATGATGTTCCTGCATCTTTTCATGTGCTTATTGGTCATTTGTGTATCTTATTTGGAAAAATGTGTATTTAGATTGTTGGCCCACTTTAAAAGTTGGGTTATTTGTCTTTTTAATTATTGAGTTTTAAGGGTTCTTTGTAGGTTCTATTAATAGATAGAAAACCCTCAATATTACATGGTTTGCAAACATTTTCTCCTGTTCTGTGGGTTGTCTTTTCACTTTCTTGAGGATGTCCTTTGCAGCAAAAAAGTTTTTAATTTTGATGAGGTGCAGTTTTTCTTTTGTGGCCTGTGCTTTTGGTGTCATATCTAAGGAACCACTGCCTAATCTAAGGTCACAAAATTTATGCCTATATTTTCTTTTAAGATTGTTCTAGTTTTAGCCCTTATTTTTAGGTCTTTGATACATTATGGGTTGATTTTTGTATATGGTGTGAGGTAAGGGTCCAACTCTTTCTTTTGCAGGTAGCAATCCAATAGTCCCAGCACCACTTATTGAAAAGATTATTCTTTCTGCATTGAATTGTCTTTGCACCTTTGTCAAAATGAACTGTAATATAAGGCTTTATTACTGGATTCTTGATTGTGATCCACTGATCTATGTCTCTTCTTAGGCCAGTACCATACTGTCTTGATTGTTGTAGGTCTGTGGTAAGTTGGAAAATGAAATTGGGACATGTGAATCCCCCAACTTAATTTTTCTTTTGAAGAATGTTTTGGCTGGATCTCTTGAATTTCTGGATGAATTTTAGGATCAGTTACCAATTTCTGCAAATAAGCCAGCTATTTCATGGGAATTGCATTGAATATGTAGGCCAATTTGGGAATTATTACCATCTTAACAAGATTAAGTCTTTCAACCAATGAATACAAATGTCTTTCCATTTATTTACGCTTCCTTTATATTTTTCAACAATGTTGTTGTAGTTTTCAGAAAAGTCTTGCACTTCTCATGTCAAAGAACTTTGTGAGAATAATTTCTTTTATTTTTGAGACAGAGTCTCGCTGTGTCATCCAGGCTGGAGTGCAGTTGCACAATCTCTGCTCATTGCAATCACCACCTCCCGGGTTCAAGTGATTCTTGTGCCTCCTGAGTAGCTGGGATTGCAGGTACGCACCACCCATGCCCGGCTCATTTTTGTATTTTTAGTAGAGACAAGGTTTTGCCTTGTTGGCCAGGCTAGTCTCGAACTTCTGACCTTAAGTGATCT